GAGCACTGTGTTTTGCATGTATTTTGTTTTGAATAACACCTTCCTTACCTTTGTCATCCCTCGACTCAAATGTGTGAAAAGATCTCTCTACCTGAGTAACAGCTCTAAAGAACAAACAGATGGGCCCTGGGCAGTGAAAATGTTATGTTCCCAACCAAAGCTATTCTGTACTGTACACATTACCCCAGACAGTGTAACACAATCCACGCCAGCATGGCAATAGGCTGAGCTGAAGTAATGATGATATGACTGACTGAACACATATCTGGAAATTTGGATTCCATTCCCGGCTCAGTCACTGAAAGATCTGCTCAGATTGCAGCTGCTGCTATTGCTTTTTTCAGCTTTCAAACATTCTCTGTAATAATGACCTTGGGCTCAATAGTACCAAGTGGCTTTAGACAAAATTAAGCAGATTCAGGAGTTTCTCTGGTAAGGCTTCACCCCAGAGTGAACTCTGACTTCTGGCTCATCTGGATTTGGGTGCGCAATTCAGCTGTGCTGCAGCAGAGTCTGTGGTGCTGAGCAGCTTCTCATGGACCCAGGGCACAGCCTTTCACCTGCTGCACAAGCTGGCAGAGAACAACAACTGCAAGCACCTTAAAGAAACTGCTGGCAGAACTGAAAATCCCATCAGTGCCTGTAGAACACTCTGTGCTTTGCCATGAGTGAAAGAAGGGCCCAGGACCATTGTCAGACCCCAAAGGATGAGTGCACTGCAGAACCAGGACACCCCATCTCAAAGGAATCTCTGGGAGCTACAAACAAGAGCAAACCCACCAACAATACAGTCTAAACAGAGGTCAGAAATTTCTGGCCCTTTTCAGAAGGCTTTGGAAGTAGTAGCTAAACAAAATGTTTCCTTATGACTTTAGGGAATGTCTCTGGATTTAATTGTACTGCAGTGTAAAATTATCAGCACATACGTACACAGAGTGCACCCCATGTTCCTGATGTGGCTGGACTATTACTGAAAACAAAAAAAAACACTTATTCTGTCACATTGCTCAAGTGGCTACTAAATATTCTAAGACACAGCTTGTTTGTATGTTCAGCTTTGTGACCAAATGCATAAAGCCCATTTTTCCTGCAGCAGTCAGTAGCACACAAACTCACTGCAAGCAGAGGGAAGCACTGCAGCAAGCACTGTGACACAGTCATTAATCCAATCATTAGGTCAGTGTAGTGAAACTGTGTGCATGGTTAGCACAAAAGGGGAAAAAAACCCCAGACTGATGACTACAATTGAAAAGGTCAATATGAAATACAATACTGACAAAGGAATTAAGCACATGCAGAACTCATGCACAAAACTGCACCACTTGGGAAATAAACACTTACAGGCATTTAAACACTGCCTGAGATAACAATATCTAAGCTACTTAAATGTGTAAAAGAACTCCAAAGCAAACACTTTTGTTTTGTCACAACCCTACCCTGAAGCCATAAAAATAAAGACCATATCACCACCAGAATAAATATGCTGAACTGAAACAGTATCATTCCATTTGTTATTTCATGTTTGAAAATATGTCCTGCCTACACAGCTTCCCTCCCTCAGGAAAACGCCCTATCCCCTTTCCCTCAAATCCACAGTAGCTTACTCAAACAGCATCACATCTTACAAGATAAATTTTATTTTCCTCTGTTCATAGTTATGCAGAAACTTGGATTTCAGCGGGGAAAACAAATATCCACATGTGTGGGAAGAAATGGGGAGGAAAAATTTAGTCAGTACTTAAGAATAAATAGCCCCCTCTATTCTTAAAAACACCATTAACTTGAGACCTTGGTACCCCATCTAATGTTCTCTTATTGCCCATACAGTAAATTAATGTCTTCAAGCTCCTACTAATGGAAACATTTTTCACTGAGACTGGCAACTTTCTCATCCATGCATAGCTTATTCTAAGTCTGAGTTCATTTAGCTTCCCCCAGAGCTAAATTTATTGAAAGAACTGAGCACCAACCTGAGCCTCCCTCTGCCAGGTACTTGTCCTTGGCATAGATGACAGAATCCAGCATTGACTCAAAGAGAAGGAAATAACCCTGTTTAGAGAAAAGGGAAAGAATTTAGAAATCATTGTGTTTCTTATACTTAGTCATTCTACAGAGAGGCTTTATCAACATAGTTTAAGAACATCATAAACCCATACACCCAGAGAGTTTTACAACAGCAGCACTGTCACTTCAAAACTTGTTATATAAGTACCATCTTTAATTTCCCAAACTGCAAGTACGTAGCACACAGAGAAAATAAACACACCATCTACATCAACAATTACCCAACAAGAGCCCTACAACAACAAAAGACATTGAATTCAACTCAAAGTAAGTGAAAAGCTGCAGGTATTGATTTTTTTAGTAGTAACTGTGAGGTTCCAAGAAAAGTAAAAATAAAAAAAATAAAAATAAAAGCCCTTCTGCTTCAGATCTGCAAGTAACACTGAAACTATTGCGAGAGAAAGGTCAGATGGAATGCATCTTTGCTTCTCCATATTTGCAACCTCATGGTACCCTGTATCAATCCCAGCAGTGCTCACTGAGAGAGGTGAAAACAAATCATGTATCAAATATTGGTTCTCTGGGTGTTCTACATCATCTAGCAGCACCCAGACTTGCAAAATTTCCAGGATAAAAATGATAACAACCAGACCCACACAGGGCTTTTTGTGTTGGAATTAGTTTTATGGCATAGGATACTGCCATTGGTGTTCAGAATAATTTATTGTGAACTTCAGTGACTCATTTGCTGAAACAGGGAAACATTCCTTACTTGAATATTTGAGATACTAAAAAATTCAAATAGAAGTATCAAACAAAATTAGCATTTTATAGAGCAAAGCATTTATCCCCTTTCTCAATTGCTTCTAAACATAAAAAAATGCATATTTATGATATATAACCCTTTGTTTTCCCATTGATATACTGATTTTTTACCCTTCCTGTCCTCCATGTCTGAGCATCACTGTTACTCAATACTGTAACATATTTCATCTACAGCCTCACAACACCAAATCAATTAAAACAAACACCAACAAAGATTTTGAATTTTCATTTAGCAACCTCATTTTCATTCTACTTAAAACACAGCTCAGCCACATGGCTTGATTTAGTTGGCAAGAACAAAATGGACAACTGAAGCCCAGACTTTGGCCCTGCAGTAATTTACCAAAGAAAAGCTAGGAAGCTGCAGCAGAGGCATTTCAGATGGGTTTTAGGAAAAATTCCTTCACTGAAATGGTTATCAAGCACTGGACCAGGCTTGCCCAGGGCAGCCCTGGAGGGATCTAAAAGTCATGTGAATGTGACACTGGGGACAGGGCTTAGTGCTGGGTTGGACTCAATGATCTTTAAAAAATCCTTAAACTTCAAAACTGCTTAAAAGTGCCATTTTCTACAGCCTTCAGAACAAAACACCAAAACTGAAAACCCCAGAAACCTGAAGCATTACATATTTGTAATCAAAGAGAACACAGTGTGAAAATAATGGCCATGTCATTTTCTCAATCTATTTCTCCTGGTAATACTGCTTCACTGAAAACTTTTCTTCCCAATCTTATCTGTTCTTCTGTTTCACTGCCCAAGTTCTGTATATCTTCAGAATAAATCCCAGAAGGAAGACGACTGCTTGGTGAGCAATTGTTGTTAGCAAGCTTTGCTGAACAGCTGAAAAGGCCTGGAGCTCCAGTTGCATCAGGCAGGAATAATGTGATGCCTACAGCAAGCCAAAAGCACAGCATGGAACCACAGCTTTCTTTTTTATACAGTTAAAAATAGAATATGTTTAGCTCACAAAAAGTATTTATAGGCACCTTTAAGTGAAAATGAGCTGTTTTCATAGTATTTTAAAGGTAACCTCTAGGACATATTGAAGCCTGGTCACTAGCAAGAGTCAGTAATTCACAAATGACATCTTTATGGACTAGGTCTGCAGTTCCTTCTTTCTGCCCACTACCTGTGCCTGCCAGGCTGTGCAAGGAGAACAGCTGGAAACACTCTCAGGAGAAATACAGAGAAATCCTCACCATTCTTTCCCTGACCTTTCCACTCTGGCACTGCTGGTTCTCCCCCACTCCCAGTTTTCCGTCTCCCCATCCATTATAGCATTCCTGTTAGTTACATAAACCACCAAAGGTACTGAATCAAGTAATTTACTGCTTATACCAAAACACTTTGCTCAGTGTGCTGTGATCATCTGTAGTGTAAGTTAGAATGCAATTTCACAGCCTGCTGCCCCACCTGTAGGGGAGCTTTCTGGAAAGAGAATTACACCTGACATCTTATCCTGGGATGCTGTGGGGAACTCTTGCTTCACCCCCAAAAATGGTCGAGGGTTTATTTTTCCTTAAGCCTGTAGTGACATCCTCAAAATCAATCCCTGCAAAGAGATGTCTATGATCCAAATCTGTGAGCTGCATATTATTAGTACAATCTTGATAGTGGCTAAACTAAGACACATCAAAGGTGACCTTCTCTGTTAAAGACAACCTGAATGCAGAGAACTCCTTAGATTTTATGTTGTCCCATGGCATGTTTTCTACTAAAGAGCTGGCCATTTCCTTCTCAGAACATACTATTTTTTGTATTTCCAAAGCTGAAACTAAATGTTCTCCAGCTACCACCAAAGGCCCATATAAACAGATGTGGCAGGAACAGAAATACAGCACTGTGAGTAACTCTGTTCAAGCACACTGCTCTGCCCCATGTCAGCCCAAGGAGGCACCCACTGAGCCCCCTGAGTCCATTAGGAATGGGAATATTGCTACATTTCTTATATATCTCCTTTGTATCTGTATTCTGTGTTCCTCACAGAATTATAAAAGGCTTCCAGCTCTTTGATGCCTTCATATTTTGCATTGTTAATCTTTTCCCTAATACTCAAATATACTACAGCATTGTCGTATTCATTTTCATTTTAATTCAAAGCTACATAAAAATATTTACCCACCTGATCAAAATATAAGTATTAAAGTTCTTTTAGCTTTAGTGTTTCGGTATTTACATGATAATCTTTGTAGAGAAAAAGAGTTCAAATTCTTTAAAAGCATCAAAAAGTGGATTAGCATGTTTACAACAGCAAGAATTAGCAGAATTGTTGGTGCACCTGAAAAAATCTGTGTAAAGACAGAATTTAGAAGCATTGTTTAACTGCTTGAATAAGCATTGTGTTTCCCCTCCATTTGCTATCAAAGATGCATTTTATTATTTTATTATTAAATTACAGAACCTGATCTGGTTCTCCAGATTTAGTACGGCCCAATCCTAAACATTTAATGAGATGAAAAACAGCTATCAAATCACAGGCCCAGAGACTCGGCTTTATCTTTTTTAATTCCCAGTGGTATAAAAAAAGTGCATTATTGTCTTAAATGGAAGTTTTCAACTACAAGATTTCCACTGGCCCACACAGTAAAGAAGGTATACACCACAGATTAGACAACAGATTCTGATCTCTGACACAAAATTTAGTCTGGCTTTAACAAACGCACAAAACTGATGTGGTCCACTCTAGGTCATGGAAAAATACTTTTTATTTGCCAAAATTCCCTCCAAACCTGCAGCACAGTTAAATGCCAAGCAGCAGCCACACAAACACTTCAGCATGCTCTGCTGCAGCACCATCTCCCACATGCTAAGTTTGCCTTCATGCTGATCTCTCATCTACATTTTAATTTTAAAAAAAAAAAAAGAGGAAGTAATTCATTACTGACAGAGCAAGCTCACAAATGTCAGTGTCACAGCTTGACTTTATCATTCTGCACACCCTGTTGTTTCCTTAAAGCAATAAAAGTAAGAACACCAAACGGGAAGATGTGAAGAGCAGAAATGTGATCCCCATTACTTGCATTGACAAAAAAAATCATGCAAGGAAATAACTGTGTATCTCTCACAGAAACAGGGGAAAGGAGGAAGGAGAGAGAGGATAGTTTCCAGTGTTTCAGACATCCTCATTTCCTTTTCTTTTCCCTAGACCTTGAATGCCTCTGCTCACAGCCCATTCTGATGCATTTTCAAAATTATTTTTAAAAAAGAGAAAGAAATACAAAGAGAAGAAAAAGAGAGAAGAAAACATTAGCTGTCTGACCAAAGACATGATTAAAAGACAAGTACTGGGCTGTATCTTAAGTGTATTTTAATCTGACAGTCCATCTCTTCCCCAGTTTTATCTTGTGAAACTCTGCTGCACATTCAGCACCATAAAGCACTGCATTTAAAACACCCAATTTCTGAGTCCATGCTGTACATTAACATTGTATTTGAGACAACCTTCTCAGGCAATTGTCTCTCATAGCACAGCCCCTTTACAAACAAGAAATGCAGATGTTCTCAAGTGAATAAAACTAGCAACCTTCAGCATTATAGTTTTAGCTGGAGAAAGGAAGCAAAACCAATACTGATGGCAAGAAAAATCTGCACACAGATGCAGCTGTGCAAGGACAATCCAAAAAGCACTGCAAACATTTTGGTTCTTTCTGCACTCATCTTTTCAATAAGCAGTCTATGAAGTTTACAATTACTCTACCTAAATATGGGAGCAATAATTCAGCCACTTTTGTATGTCATACCTTCCTGCCCAGGAATACATGTAAGTCAACACCCTGAATAAGAAGTAAGGGATTTAGAATAAGTAAGGGATTTATCTGTAGGTGACTTATAACACAAGCAACAAAATATGAGAGCCTGGTACTAGCATACAAATCTTTAGTTATACAAATTAAGGTTTTTAAAGGTTTCACATATCAGAGCTCCAGGCAGGCAGGATGGTGTGTTGGGAAGGATGGAAGTTTGACAAGGAAGTCTCACAATTATGGATGCTTGGCAGAAAGATTTTTGAATGTAGAGTCTGATGAAGGAATAGAGATGGAAGCAAGTTTTGATATAGAAGAAAAGAATTGCTGAGCCAGTTTTACTGGATAACCAAGGAGGCAAAGGGTGTGTGAGTTAGAAGGGGTTTTTATGATTTAGAGCAAAGGATAAACCCACCCCAAACAAGATGATGTTTCTACCAAGCAGAAAAAGCACAGGCAAACAAGTCAGTAAATGTGGCAAGGAGAAAAAAGGTCTCAAAATTTTCCACTGCAAAAAAACTGAAAAACAACTTCTGGCTTAAACTTAATGTACTGACTTTTAGTGACTGGAGAACAGTAACATGAATATGGTAATTATAGCAGTTATGATGGGCTATAGATAAAAGTTAAGGTGTAGATTGGTTCTACTGCGTTAAGATGCTCAGCAAAGAAAAGTATAGAATGCATTGTAACCAAACTTCAGATACAAACTTCAGATGTCACAAGCTGAATTAGAATGTTACAAACACGTTCACTATTTCATGAACATGCTAATTTCTTTTACAGGCTTAAATAAAATCACTGAAGGTACAGTTGCTCTTCATTCAGCCCCTAAACCTGGAACACAAGAAAACCATATCCAGAAGGAATTTAAATTGGGAAACTTATTTTGGAAGGTGGTAAGTATGCATTTGAAATACAAATTTCTACAAAGACACACATGCACTCACACACACCTGCCCATTGTGTAATATTTAAGATGCTTCTCCCATTTTTCCATAATTTAAGGGAACAAATTTATAAATGAAAGAGAGGGAGTAAGAGAAGCAGTTTGTGGCAGTCATAGGTCACTTCTGCAATTAAGTAAACGATCATTAGAAACCATCACACTGAGATGCTCATAATGCAATGCTGTACTTTTTACAAGACACTGCTCTGTGTGACAGCTTTTTCAGAAAGCCTAATCTAAAAACAATCCTGGGAGAATGCAGTATTTTTCCTCTCTCTTGCCTCATACTTGTTTTTAATTTTCTGATGTTCCAGACACAGCTCCACAAAAAAATAAAAGCTTATTGTGAACTGATCTTAAGCAGCATTCTCTGTCAAGCAAAACAAAGCTATGGCTCCACCAAAGGTTTGATATTCACTAATCCAAAAGCAGTTTGTTTCTTAAACAGAAACAACAACTTTACATATTTTTGTTACGAAGAAAAGCATGAGAATTTTCCTGCCAGCCCATACAGATTCTCTGCATCAAGAGGCAAAATCTGACATATACTGAATTCTTTTTAACCCTCATGCTCACATATTAAGAAGTGATTTCACACTATATAATGTAGGGAAGGAAATGAAAAAGCAAATTCACACAAGAAAGGCAGACAAAGAAAAATCTTCATCTGCATTAGACAACATAATGTTCCTTTGTGGACAGGGCTGGAACATTGTGTACCCTGTCCAGCTATCAATCTTACTTGCACAGCATTGTCCTCTTTATCTCTGTCATGCAGTAACCTATAAAAATCCTAACACTTCAAAATATTTAGAATACCTAATTAACTGAAGTGCACATGGCTATGTAATTTTGACATAAAAAAGGTAAATTAGCACACAAAAGAAAAATATCCAACATTCAATACTTTGTTTCTCACGAGAGCTGAGTGTTGAAATCCTTTAGTTCATCTTAGAGGCACTGATTGATTTACACCATGACCTCAGCTCACCTGTCCAGGTTCCCTACAAAACCAAATCTGGGCTCCAGAAGGAGAAATGTGATTTTGGGAACATTAATCTTGGTGCACATATTAGGAGGCTGATCAGAAGTTTCTCTGAAAACACTATAATTACATTTCTAGTGAAGCCACCATACTGTTGAAATCACCAACCATAATGTGCTATTTTTAAATCACTGGTTTAAGGCAGTGGCTTAAACCATCCTTGAAACTGGTGACCTCAACATTAAATTAAACTCATGCTTCAAATAACACACATCACAGCAGGGCAGGAAAAACTGCAGATTTCTAATTCCTAGTTCACTGACACATGTAATAATAAACAAATATATACAAAAAAGACAAATCAATTTATTTGCATCTTTCCCTGAAAAGCAGGTAGATACATATGGATTCACAGATGAGTGCCTGACCTCCCCAGCAAAGGCCACTGTATATAACAGAACAGCCAGTTTGTTAAAAAAGAAACAAACCCCACAAAGAAACAAGTAGCACTGAATATAAGCTTTCATTCCTGATCTTAAATTTTGGGCAGAAAGGAATTTTTAAGTCCCAGCAGGTGGAAGTAACATGAAGAAAACCTGGGCTTTGAAGTGCTTTTTGAAGGTCTGTGATGTGAGGACCCTGAATAGCAGAAGTTCACAAAAAAACAGTTCAAAGAGATGTTTCCTACCACATTTTTGACAGGCGACAGGCAACAGGCACTCGTATGCCACTATGAAACTCAGGTTTTGTCACACAGATTTCTTTATTAGGATTAATGGCAGGTAGCAAGGACAGGGGTGTAACAGTCACTGTTCACCACACAAACAGGTAACAGGCCAACAGCTGAAACCCAATGGATTCCAGGAGATGGCTCATTTGGACACTGCTGTCCTTCACACTCCTTTTGTCCCTTTGAATCAGTGCTTTTACTGCCATGCTGAAACCAGCAATGAAAGCAACACTGCTTTCAAACTCTCCCAGTGTTTGCAGATTTCCAGAGGCAGCACCTCCCCTTCTTATCACCTTTCCTTCACTGTCAGGAGAGTCCTTGGCTGAATTTGCAGACTGAAGGTATTTTGCCTATCAGAATGAGCTGGCTAGATGACTAATCAAATATTTCGCCATTGCTTTCAGCAGTATGACTTAGTGCTTTATAGATTTGCAAACCAACTTCATGACAGAAACTTGCTGCACCTACAGCAGCTCACCTGTACTTAGAGAAGCTTGACTTGAAAGAGCTTGAGCAAGAGGGACCAGGAACTGTGTCCAAGTACCACATAATCAGGACTGCCATCCCATCTCTGACATTGTCAGACACCGCTGGAGTCATGATAGATGCTTTGGTTAAAAAAAGCCAACTTTTCAAATGAAATAAAACACATCTTTTTCTGAAAATAACTTGAAAAGAATACCCATGCACCTTACCATCCACTCAGATATAATTACATCCACTTTTTCCAAAGGCAGATCAACTTCCTCGATTCTTCCTTTGACTAATGTAATAATCTTTTCAAGTTTATTTAATCTGCAAGTCAAAACATCAACAAATTAGTTTATATTTCCAATTTATGCTGTCAAGAGAGCCATACTGACATCTATATTTCGCATTCTTCCCCTCACAAACTTTTTGGCTTAACTAATCAAGAAGCACAAGAATGTACTATTCCTCAGTTTTATTTCAGAGGGAACATTTCCAAGTAGCTAAAAATTGCAGCAGATTTAGTGCTGGGAGAAGATGGCAGGCAGTACATCTGTATACCTCCAACGTGCCATGCATGCAAATAGGCAAGCTTCAGAAATCAGGAAAACAGAAGACAATTTAAAACTGCTGCTCCTCTTTATTTAGCAGTTGCTTGTTTCCATTTCTCCTCCGCTGACCTCCACAGCAATCAGAGCCTACTCACCACCCCAGGACAGCAGTGGAAATTAACTTCCTTCCAAAGCTGCTTTGCATGACTCGGTTTTTATTTAACCAAAGCAGCTGCAAAGTCAGTGAGAACAGAGCTTGCCCCTAACCCAGTGCTGCAGTCAGTGCCCAGGAAAGGCACCCTCCCCACGGGGATTTGGGCAAAAGCACCTGCAGTGCTCAGGGATGAGCTCACACGCACGTCACGGTACAGCCACCCTGCGCAAGGAGGGAGGGAGGGACAGGACACGGCTTTGGGAACAACAACTGCACCATGGGGCAACCAGCAAGTGTGCAATGCCTGAAATGCACTGCTTCTCCTCTTGGCAAACCGTATTAGCCTCTCTTGCACTTGTCTTTATCACCGTGGCTGTTGTTACAGGGGCAGAGGAGTACTCTCAGCACAGAAATTTATCTCCCCACCGCAGTTCTTATCACTGCCCTTCCCTCCCTCTCCTGATATCTTACTCTCACATTCTGTCTGGCTTTCAGTGCAGACCAGTAATGACATTAAAAATTCAATCCAAGAGACAATGGAAGAACGATCACTATGAAGGGAGGGAAAGGAAAAGGTCAAAGGGCTCCCTGAACACTTGGGCTGTTGCAAAGACATTAAATCCTCTACACAAGACAGTTTTCTGTTAGAGGATAGCAGTTCATTACTAAAATCATATTCAATGGTCTAAACAGAAGGAAAATCAGAAGTTCAAAGCGAGGAATGTTAAAGAGCTACCACCCACAACAATAATTTAAGAAGCACTAAGAGATCTACAGATAACTTTCTAAATGACCACATCCAAGGACATGATTTAAAACAGAGAGAAAAGGATTCATTCACTACCTACTTGTTTTCAATTATAATGTTTAAAAAACCCAAACCAACCAATGTAGTTTACACACTGTAGGAAAAATTGAGATGTTATTTAGGAAGTCTATTTCAACTTTCTATTTTAGCTTAACAGTGATGAATGACAAAAGTCAAGTAATTCACTGTGCTAGAAATTTTACAGGGACTACGCACAGCAAGAAAAAGAAAAGCCAATCTTTTTGTTTAAAGTAAGTTTGTTTTTAAGGCTACTCAGGCTATGTATTCTGGTTCACTTACACACATGGGTGGCACTGTTTCCAGTAATTAGCATGCTAGAAATTAACCTGAATTCTGGGCAGGACAGAAGCATTGAGCACACACTTGAATCACAGGTGGAAGTGTGCCCCAACAGTCATTTTTTAAGCTACAGAGCTGTTTAGTGTTCCAATAAATATTTGTTACTCCACTGTAACTTTGTCAGCTTTTCCTTTAGGAAAAGTAGCTTTAAACAGACAAATATAAATTGTTTTGATGTGAACTGCAGACTTTAATGTGAATTGCACCTTGTATAGGAGAAAGTACCTCTAAATGTGCAGCCTTACTGATTATTTGCTGCATACTTTAAGTGGCAATTCATCACTCTTACAAGTTTTGATTCATTGCTTTTCTTAGAGGCCTGCCCTTCTCCTCCCCAAAGAATAACACACTGTTACTTCTACTCTCCCCCAAGTATAAATAACACTCAAAAGACTTTATGCACTTGTTGAAAGTTAAAACAGCCCCAAATTTGTCATCTAGTACATTAGATATAAAACACTATTTCACATCTGCAACCATTCTGAAGATGTCAGGAACTCAGAGGCAAGGTTCTCTCTAAGGAATGAGTTCTTGTGCCAGAGAAGTATTTTAGTCAAACATTCACTTAAGGTTCAACACGGTGCTTTTCCCAAGCAGAAATCTGAGTAACTTTACAGCACCCAAGTGTGCAGTGCTGCACCACCAATGTGTGAAAGGTACCTAACAAATTCCCCACAGACAACATTACTTCACTCCCAAGCTCTTCAGTATCTACCTGGATTTTATTCTCACAGTTGCTCTTACCAAAATCATCCAAATGAAAAAACATACAGCCTTCAGCTATCAACAGTGCACATGGACATTACACTCCTCCTACCTCATCCTAGGAAATCCTTTTTAAGTCTCCAGATGTCATTGCTTGATTTTACACACGCTCAGCCTCCCTAAATATCCTCCGCAGGCAAATATGCGACATGTGGAGTGGATAAAGGAACGGGCAGATGGGTCTGGGCCATGAGGTTCAAGAGGTGAGAGGAGGAGCACAAATCCTCACTGGTAGCCAGGTACCAGAGGTGTCCCTCAGGGCTCAGCACTGGTTCTGATGTTAATGAACACCTTTAGAGACCTAACTGGACAACATGCACCCTCAGCACTGCTGAATTAGGGGAGAGCACTTGACAGGGTAGGCCTTTTATTTTCTGTAACACAGACAAATTATAGAAATGATTTTAAATTCCTATAGAGAAACAGAAGACTAACAACCACAACTTCTCCTACCTAATGATGTCCATGGCCTGATAGATGATTTCAGATTGGTCAACTCCAATCACTTTCTTGGCACCCGCTCTGGCAGCAAACATGGAGAGAATTCCAGTTCCACAGCCAACATCCAAAACCACCTGAAAGGGAGAAACAAAAGCAAAACAATCTTATTTTCCTTGCTATGATTTTTCTACACTTCTGTCTACATCAGTGAGATGGCACACTCCAACAGAAGGCATGAAGTCTTGCTGTTACGAGCAGAGACATCCAAGTCACACTGCAGGTCTAACTCCCACTCTACCACCTTTTCCAGGCAGACAATGAAGCCCACGAATTCCAGCTGCAGATTAACCCAGTCCCATGGGAAACAGCAGCAAGCAATCATGTGGGAAACACCTAAAATGCTACATGAAGAGGAAAAAAAAGGAAATTATAGCCTGAGCAATTTTCATCACTGAATCACTAATAATTGAACTGAGAAAATGTATTCTAGCTGCAGTTTTAATTTAAAAGTCTATTCAGAAACTTATTTAGGAATCCTCTGCCAGACATGGGCACACTGCCTCAAAACAGCTATGGCTCAGGATAACCAAATTTTAAAATGGTCACTGGCACAGTTTTAACACCTGGAAATATTTTCTGTTTAGCACTACTTATAACCAAAATAGAGTGAAAAGAATCCAGTTAAGATGGAATCCCTAGAGTTTTCATGAAAGAGTGAATTTCACCACTACAGCTGGAAAAAGTATGCCATAAGAGCCATGGAAATGCATGGGGTTTCGTATATCACGTATCAGCTACTACAGGAAGACTGAAAACTTAAAAAATGTGAAGCAACTAGGAAAAGAGCACCAAATTTATGACTAAGTGGTGTTGAGCTGCCAGCAGTTTTAGGCTTCACAGATATTTTACTAACTAGCATTTTTCACACCTTGCTATCACAACAATGTATGTCTTGTAACTGCTGGAAATTCTCAGCAGCTACAAACCTAATGAATGTGTTACAGCAGATTTTTAAGCTGAGTTCCAGGCTTCTTGTTTTCACAGAATTATTGGAGCTGAAAGGCATCTCTGGAGGGTGTATTTTACTAGATTGGCCAGATCATCAATGGTCTTGTTAGACTCATGTCTGATATAACTAAGCTTTACTAATGGTGTAAAAAAACTCACAGCACCAAACCCAAAAGTGTTCTGAAGTCTGAAAATCAAAATAAGTTTTCTAAACACTGCGTAGAGCCTCTCATCTCATGTACAGCATTTAAGCATGAACTGAACCAGAACTGTAAAGAACTTACTTGCCCATACATAAGACCTAAAATGAAAGTACAGCTTAAAACACGCTTAAGTTAACAAGAACAGAGTCAGAATTACCAGTCACAGCAAGAATTTATTAGAAAGGAAAACTGATGTCACTGTCTCTTTCTCCCCAGAGCACAGAGTGCTGTTAAACCTACCCTCACAGCTTTCATCACAAACATTTTCCCAAAGAAGGCATCCAATCGCTCATTGATCAGTACCACATTTGAGAACTATAATCCCAGAAAATATTTTTAAAAATACAAAAACACAAAGCAATAACGCACCCTGCTGCTGATACACCTTCCAGCTTATCGTCTACTGATCACTCTCGCTTTGGCATAAGAAAACCTGGCATTTCACCTGGCCAAGAGCAGCAAAGCAAATACTGGGATGCTCTGCCCCTTCCTTGTTTACAATTCTGTCCATTCTGAGGATGGACACAGAACCTTGATCCTGAAGGCAGCATGAACAAAACCAGCTGCTCATCCTCAGCAGTACAGAGCAAGGGAGCTGCTGCTGGGGTGGTCTGGGAGGCAGTGACTGCAGCACTGACACCACCTGTCTCTGCAGAGCCACTCAGAACCTGGAGACAGACCAAAAACCAGCAGTATTGTGGCCTTTTACAGCAGCTTGTGCAGAGGGAACTTGTACATAGAGTTACTTGCTCCACCTGCAACTCTTTTGGAGCCTTGTTTCAAAAGGAGTCAACACTGCAACTCGGAAATGAGAGAAATGCCTAAACTGTCAATCTGCTGGAGACAGGAATAGAAAATAAAAATCAGTATTCTTGCAGCTGCTGAAATCTCCCACCCTCCAACATCACCTAACATTTCACCTATGGTAGTTAACAAAATCACTGAGCCATGACAGCTGGAAGTCACAGCCAAAAATAAACCACTGTGAAAGAATCATCTTGATGTACAGTTGCATGAAAGAGAGCAATCACCACAAATTGGAAAAAAATCAAAACAGACAATGTTGGACAGCTGCCCTGGTCACTTAAAAACCCAGATGGAACTCATCTAGCCTTAGGCAGGGGACGGGATGGAAAGGAGGCACTGGAGGGAAAACACAGGCTGAAATATGTGTGAGAAGGGAAAGACAAGCAGAGTGATCATCCATTAGCCTGAGGACAAGGGTCTGCAGCCCACATGTTCCTGCAGGGATCACATATGGCCTCTCAGCAAAGAGCTGAGCAGCTGCACAGGTGATTTCACCACACCACAGCACTGCAGCTCCACACGCTCCTCTGCAGTCTGAGCCAAACTGAGATCCTGCTTTCAGTGATAGCCCACCTCAAACTCAGAAACACAGGGGGCCAGGCACTTTGGCCACCTCAACTCATTTCATCAGTGAGCCCTTAGTGGGACAGTAGTTTAAAAGCTCATTTTATTCCCTGAATATGGCACTGATGCTTGCCTCAGATTTCTGTCTCACAATGAAAACTAAGCAAGGCAACAGTGCTTTACTAAATTATTTTTCCACTCAAAAATACTCTCATTGTAAAATGGAGCACACTTCCTTTTACTGAGTACAGCCACCTTCATTACTCCTGCCAGGTAATCTGAATTGCCTCATTCTCATCTCAAATACATTTGAAAGATTGAAAACAAAGGCAGCAAGCAGGATTTGTTCCAGTTTTAATAATTTATTTTGAAAGCTGAGACAGAACAAGCTAATTGGCTAATTCTGAATAAAATAATAAACAAACCTAGATACTCTGTTATCATCTATCAGCATGCAATCACACCTCTTCAGTATCCTAAATGCTAGGATGCAGACTTGCATCTAAAGTGAGTATAAAAATTCAGCTCTTTGAACAAGGCCTTCCCAAACCACCTCATAATAGTACACTCAGAAAAAACCAAAAAGCATCAGTAGGTATTTTTCAGGGAGGACTACCAAAAGAGAGTTCTAGGAAATGCAGTAACAGACTTTTTCCTCAATTTTTTTAGTTGTTATTAAAATGAAAGGGAAAACAGCCTCTGGAATTTTCATTCATTAGTATAGCCTGAGAGCATTATACAAATACATTAAGCAAAACAAAGTATCCTACACAGCTCCTTCAGCAGAAGTGTGTAACAGACGTCACTTCAAAGCCAGGTTTCTGCAGCAAACTTCATTTGTTCTCTAGCAATGTCCCAGGAGAAAGCTGCATCATGTGGCCAGACACACAAGTTCAGCAGGACACTGGTCACAGGGTGGGGCACACTGGGAACTCCAAGCAATCCAGATTCTGTCTTTCAGCTCAACCTCAACACACCACCATGGGTTTGGATGCACCATGATTTGAGGGAACCTTATCAATAAACTGCTGCAAAAAACACGTTCAGAAATCAGTTTGTGAGCCTTCTCCAGAGCAGCTGAGTGCTTTTACACCAGAGTAAGCACACACAGTGCCTGAGCATGGGGATCTCCTCCTGGGGCTGAAGCATCATTGACTCTCACAGTTACTCCATGGTTTGTTTTCAGTGTTCCCAGAGTGTCCATGCAGCACAGGAGACACACTATCCATCATGAAAAATTACTGTTCCACAAGGCCTCACATTTTGTGTAACTTCACATCAGCCTTAACCTGCAAAAACCTGCAGTTATCAATTTTAGGGGCTAAAATGTGAAACTACATTTCTCTGGGGAAAGTTTTCTTTCCTTTATTGATCTTTCTGCATTGTTGAATGAGCTGCCCACCTACACAGTTACCTGGTGGCATAATTCCATGACACTTTTGCTTGTTCTCTCACTATAATCAAAGAGTTCAGAAATGTTTAGTAGAAACAGGCTTGTGACATGAATTGAGGCAAAAAAGGGAAGAAAACTATTTAATTTTTTTTTTTTTTTGCTGTAGTTGCCAATTGAAAACTAAGGTAAGCCATACAAGGAACAGGCACTGTCAAACACTGAAATACTTTCTGTCAGGACAGAACTGCTCTCTCACCTCCCCTACAAAGGAAGGCTCAGAGGATTGGGATGGCTCAGCCTGGAAAAGAGAAGGCTTTGGGGTGACCTAATTGCTGCCTTCCAGTACCTGAAAAGAGCCTAAAAGAAAGATGAAGAGAGACTCTCCACAAGGGCCTAGAGTGACAGAACAAAGGGGAATGGATTTAAATGGAAGCGAGTAGGCTTACATAGGATACTAGGAAAAAATTCTTCTCAGTGAAGGTGGTGGGGTCTCAGCACAGGTTGCCTAGAGAAAGTGTGAATGCCCCATCCCTGAAAAAAAACCCATTCAAGGCCAGTCTGGATGGGGCTCTGAGCAACCTGGTCTAGTGGAAGGTGTCCCTACCTAGGGCAGAAGGATTGGAACTGCATGATCCTGCAGGCCCCTTCCAACCCAAACCATCCTACAGTTCTACAAGCTCCAAACACGACAAACTCATTAGAAACAGCCAGCAGAAATACAAAAGGCAAGAGGATTATTATTGTGCAGGGGTCATAACCACTGTAAGATCCATCACTGAAATCCCTCCTCACTACAAATGAAGTACCAGCTCACAGCTGCAAGCCCTTTAACAATAACCACCCAGCCTGGAGACAGGAAACGGCACTAATTCAAAAAAATCAGTTCCACACCAATTCTTTCCCAGCCCTAATTACACAGGGCTTCCAGGACGTTTTTACTGTATCAGGCATACATAGAAATTCACTTAATCCTGGTAAAGAGCCCTCAGAGAGACTGCACATAATATCCTCGACAAGAGAGGCCCAACTTCACCCTGCCAGGATAATGAATGAGCTCCCTGCCACGGCACACAGCACAATGACAATAGAGATCAGCACTGCCCTTATCAGCTCGCTGCACCCTCAGCAGCTCCCCACCACTGACACGGCCAGGGCGCATGGGATCAAATCCTGCCACTGGAACCTCCATCCCCAGAGCTGCAGGGCAGCAAACTGCAGCTTTTCTGCCATTTGAGACAAAACAAACCACAGGAATGACTGGATTGCTGAGCAGTTTACCCACCTTGTCCTTGAAGATGTGTGGGTTTTGGTAGATGAAGTCCCGGTAGCTCTCCGTACGGACTTTATCCTGGCAGCCAAAGAACAAAGAGGGGTCACTTTTTCTGCTTAGGTACAGCATAAAATTCAAAAATGCTGAACACCTGGCTTTTCAGCCTGGCCTACAGATGCTTTGCACATACTGTACTTACACGGCACTGCAATCACGACACTTCTGTATGACAATATTGCCGAATTTACTGCAGCAAATGAAGCCACTTGCCTCAGCTGGAGGAAAAATAAGGAACTATTTTATGGTTTCCTGATTCTGCCTTCTCTTTTGAATGTTTCAAAGATCTAAATACCTGTTCATCGCTAACAAGGAACAGCAGTAATAGAGAGACAATATTACAGCAACTTAAATAGAAACCAGCTTAAATAGGAAATTGTGAACATTTGAATGACATGCTCATAAAATGTTTTGTATCATTTTGTTCTCTGACACCCCTGTGACATGGAGATTTCTGTAAACAAAAAAAAGTTATGCATCAAATTAACTTGTTTTGTTTTCTGAACAAGCTGCAGATCTGCAGTCCTGATGACAAGCTTGCAGTTAAAGCCCATTTGCTGAAAGTCCAACACAGTAAATAAGTTTGACTGAAATACAACAGGGCCAGAGAAGCTGCAGTATTTTCAAGCCTAGAACAAAACAAATATAGTACCTTAGTATAAAAAAAGCCTGCAGCATAGCTCAGATTACCAGCAAGGTAATCTGTTAAAACATTGATTCTCTTAACATGCATCAGCAGGTACACAAATTGACAGCCAACTACAGGTTTTGGAGCTGCTGTCACAGTTCAAGTGTTACAGACCAAAAAAATCAGCAATTTTTGGTCTAGTGCAAAAAATGCTGAAGTATAAAATCCTAGTACTTTCATTAAATCTAGAGGATTTTTCTACTACAGCAAGTTAAGAATTTCTAGAAATAACAGAAACAGAAATTTTCTACACTGAGAAAGAACAAAGTCTATTTTAATAAAAGAACAAGATAAAAAACAGTGACAGGAACATTTTTATGATAATAAAAATTTATCTTGAGGCTTGGAAATCCTAAAATCCAGGTCTATGTGTAAGAGTACAATCCTAAAATCCAGGTCTATGTGTAAGAGTACAATCACACAAAACTCAAAGAAGCAGCTGGGGTTTATTTTAGAAAATTCTGCTTTAAAATCCTGCATAACTAATATTAGTAACAGAACCATGACTCTTTAAAACCATATTGCTTTGCTATGATGTTCAGAGCAACTATTTTTAGTACTTCACTTCTACTGCAGTATGTATTAGGATTTGCTGGGAGGACCAAAAAAGTGTAAAAATAAATAATCAATTGAGAAAGCAGCCAGCTGGAAAGCTCTCAGCCTCGCCTCCTGCCCCAACTGAAAGCAGCTGGAGCCACAGCCAAGCACCTTGGGATTCTATTCACCAATCCCCTTCTCCACTCAACTTTTCCATGTAATGCTTTCTTGGTTTAAGTAAAATGGTAAAAAATTATTAAGATGACAGCCAAGAAATTCTCAAACACAAAGGCAGAGTAAGGGAAACACCAGCGACTCGGCAAGCGTGAAGTAACAATGTTCTTGCTCCTCCTCTCAAGTATTTGCAAAAAAACACCCCAAACTGAAATTCTGTCTCACCACTACCAGGCATAGGGACAAAAACGGTTTCAGAAATGGGCTTACATTCAGACAGCAAGACTGCTATCTTAAAAATGTTCATGTAGTAAGCCACTGTATTTATGTAAATAAGGTAATCAGGAAAAACAACCACAGTGAATGCCCTGCATAAAGAAAAAAATCTCAATGTGCACACAATAAAAGTAATCCTTTTCCTATGTTTTGGAAAGTCAAAAGTCCTCTTAAGAGCATTATGACAAACATACCCTTAAATTAGTAAAATACAATTTTGTACCAATCTCCTTGTGCAGAGATGCAGATTTACTGCAAACTTTATGTGCCAACTGAAAGGCTTCCTCATCCTATACCTACATTATCTCAAATGACAGCTTTACACAGCTGCAAAACCAAACACCTATCTTTTTATTTATCTTCAAGTTACATTTCTGTTGTATTTCCACACATCATACATTTCAGAAAACATTTTTCTAGTTCTGCAGCCAGCTCTGTATACTTCTGTAAAATCTCCTCCCCTTAATAATAACCTCACAGTCACACTACTCTTAACACATACTCACATGTATTTCTGCACTGGGGCCACTGAATGATTTACAAAGCTGAAAGCTTTATATGCCAGCTGCAGGCACAAATTCACTGCACAGCTCTGTATTCTGCCTCGAATTTAGACAGGAATTTTTATTTATTTATGCCTTAAAATGATAAAACTGCTTATAACTCTCACAACTATGACATCTTCTCTGAAAGGAAGCATTAGGACATTTTAATTTACAAGTTAATCTGAAGCTGCTGGGCTTTGTGCTTGTTTTTTCTTATTTTAAAGTTAAAAGGGCATACATAGGTTTGCCTTAGAGAAGTTTTGAGCATAAACTTTTTTTAATCTTTAGCATATGAAAGGAACTGCTCCAGCATGTTCATGAACACGACAGTTTGTTGTCATGCTATCAATACACCTAACCATGCACAAGTAACATTTTCTGTTTACAAAGTGCAAGAGACAACCACAATATTTGAGAAATGGTCTTGCCTAACAAATTTCAGTTATAAGGAAAATGTAAACCTGGAGAAAAATATTCACTGCCTGGACTATGTTTTATCCTTTGTGTTTTAAACAACAGGAAAAAGCTGCTTCTGGCAAGGCAGGGCTGTGGCACAGGTACTGTACTATCAACACAACTGTAAATGATTTTCTGTTCCTAATGCCTCCTGTAAACAGAGCTTACACAAAGGAAATAAAACTGAAAAATGATCTCTTAGTCCAAGTACCACCAAAAAACCTCTCCTGGACAGAAAGGGTTAAAAATGCAGCTGCTCTGCAGTGTATTTATGGGCACACAGCCCACTTGATTCCACCTCTCCTCTTGAGTCCCAGGAAGGAGCAGTGGCGATGGCTTCCTGACCTTCAGCATCTCCTCGTGTATGCTGTAGTGCCCATAGGAGCTGAAGTAAACGCCATCCTCATCCTCCTGCAGCTCTGCGATGGCGCTGCACGGCGGGCCGCTCCTGACATCCGCGCTCATCACAAAGTCCTGAGCAAACTGCCTGCAATCAGTGTGAAAGACACCCTTGGGACGTGTTTCTGGCACGGCGGGAGGGAGGCTGGGCAGGGGAAGGGGCAGCACCGGCGGCAGCAGCTTTGGGTGTGCACATCCTCCCTCTGCAGGCTCCGCACGGCTGCTGCAGCACCCCGGCCAGCCCGGCTCCTGCTGCTCAGCAGTGAAACACCGGGGGCAGCTGCTATTTCTAAGGCAGGAGTATCTGTTTTGAACTTGCTGGTATGAAAGCCAGCACTGCAGTGCCAAGGTGCTTCGGGCTGTGCAATGCAGATATGGACTCAGCACAAAGAGCACAAGGACTGCTGCCCACACGACACTGGGTGACTACTGGAAGGGAGAGGGAAGCATTTTAAAACTTGGACATTTGGGTGAAAAGAAAAAAAGTTTAAAATTCAATTTATTACTTGAATTTTATGCTGCTTATTTTCCCTCCTCCCTGCTCTTGCACTCCTTCAACATGTAAAGAAAGGCTGAGAGCTGGGATTGCTCAGCTTGGGGAAAAGCAGCCTCCAGGGTGAACCCACTGTGTCTCTTAGCTCCTAAAAGGGCTACAAGAAATATGGACAGGGACTTTGGACAAGGACAAATGGCTTTTAAACTCAAAGACTGTAGGTTTAGACTGGATATTAGGATGAAATGTTTTACTGTGAGGGCAGTGAGGCCCCGGCACAGATGGCCCAGAGAAGCTGGGGCTGCCCCTGGGTCCCTGCAAGTGTCCAAGGCCAGGCTGGATGGGGCTCTGTGCAACCTGGGAGCTGCTCCTGCCTGGAACTGGATGAGCTTTAGGGCCCCCTCCATGTTCTCAGTCCTAAAAGCAGGCTGGATGACAAAATACACAAATCAAGGGGTTTATAATGAAAACACTATTAGACATTAACAAGCAGATCATACTACACCCACAATGGAGTGAAAAAGCAAACACACTTCAGCCAGACAGTATTCCCACAAGGTCTACAGTCCAACAGCAACAAAAGCTGCATCCTACACCACTCCAAAGCCTCTGACACTCACCTTTAACAGCAACCATACTTTCTTAAATGGAACCTTCACATATAGAAACTGTAGGAACAATCTCATTACCAATATCTTCCTTATAGAAGAACAAAAGCAAAAATAATATTTCACTCCTGATATTTCAAATACTTCCCTGCTCAGCTAGTTTGGATGGGGAAGAGAATATGGTAAGGGATTTTGTATTGAAATTTTGTCAGTTTCAGAAACTTCCTATATTTTTTTTTTTACACAGAAGTGCTCTGGATCTTTTTTTAATATTGCTCTTTACCACAGTACTTTGTATTTTCTTTACTTTCATACAAATATCTACACGATACAATTTTAAACTTCCATAAAATGGATTCTGTGATATACAATTACATATAATTAGCACTGTGTGAGATTTAAATGATTTAATTCAAAATTATTTAAGCCAATAGTTGCCCTAGTATATGCATGCAACACAAGCACCAAAGAAATTCCAAAGACAGAGCTGTCCTGCTGGCCTCTTAATCAAAAAAAGGATAAGTAAAAACAAAAGCTATCACCTCTAAAGAGGTGACAGATTAAAAACTCAGCATAGACAAGCTGTGCTCTGAAGTCTCCAAGTCACATCTAACACTAGAGGTGATCTGATTTATAAAAATGTTACTGTCATTATTTCCCAGAGGTTTACCTGAAAGGGAGCAGGTGATATTCTGTGCAGTAATGTCCAGCACAAACCACTGAATTACAGCATTTAGACTGCTACAATGCAACTGACTCATCTGTCCATAATATAAAACTGTGCTGCTTCATCAGATCTACATCTGGCTATTTTTGCTGCCAGCTGACCCCTGCGGAATTGAAGAGGTTGCATTGAGAAAGAAAAATTACAGGCTCCCTCTTACAAGAGCAGGTAACTTGATATACTTACTTAAAAGATCTGTAAGCCTCACTGAAGTTTAGAGAGCTGAAATTGCTACTGATACCTGTGATGATTTTTTTATTTTAAATTAAAATGAATGGAATATAAAGCAAAAAGATACACAGAAAATACCCCCAAGTTTTTGAAGCACAATGATAAATTTCTTTAATTCCTGCTGTTTATGATCAGTTAAAGCATAATGTATACAGAGATACCAGAAAAGCACTGTGTGCAAAATTCAAACTCATCTGAAGACAAAATGGATCCTTTTTGACATAAATAATTGTTCACAGCTAGGGGATTTGAATACATTTAATATTTTGGTGTACTTAGTTACCTGTAGCTCCAAGTGTGTACGGTCAAAATGCACAACACTCAAATTTTACAACACAAAAGTTTTCTGATTAACTTCTCACACAAAAGAACATGAATTATTTTTTCAAGTCTCTTAAATATAATTTCAGTTCCTCTGTGCCCAGTCAGTGTGATCTCATGCTTGCAGGGGATTTAAATGAAGTTCGTATTTCCGTGTTACCCATGAGCATCAACAATCCACATGCAGACCTCAAGATTTAGAAGAGCTACAGGGATGTCCTGACTGCATACTCTTACTACCCTCATCTGATACCAAAAACAAAAGTAGCTGAAAAAAGCTGATTTATTAATTCCACTGAGAGCTTCTCCAAACTGCAAATGAACTCTACTGACAACTACTGTTTGAAGCCAACTCTGAACATCTCCAGAGTCCTGTATTTAATTTGCTCTCTCTTCTCCAGTGTGTGCATCCTCAGTGTTCAAAAGCCTACCTAAAGAATTAACAGAAAGGTATCTCAAAAAACAAAGAGCAGTCTGAAGAAAAAAACCTGAGTGCTGTGCTTGCTTCGCTCTCCCAAGCATACTTTGTCCTTTCAATCTGTGCAGGTTTCTGTGCAGTTTTTACCAACCATCTACAAGAAATGTACTAACCACCTGCAACAGACAAGTCAAACCTACAGCCCCATCCCAAGGTCAGGTTCATGTTACATTCTGCTACTTCCTTCAATTTCTGTTTGTCTTCGAAACACATCTAAAACACATCAAACAAAAACAGCCCCAAACTTCAGTTCAGACACTTACTTCATCTTCTGAAGGTCATCCTGTGCCCTAGCCAAGGCTGCTTCTGCGGCTCTGGCTCTCTGTTCTGCATGCTTTAACTGTTCCAGGAGCACCATGGTGTCACTTAAGCCATTAGAAGGCAAAACTTTCACAGGCTCACAAAGATCTTCTATGTCTGATAAAACAGGGAGGAAAAAGAATACCTACCAATCACGTTTATGATCTGTTCACAGCAGATCATAAACACTTCATGCTAGTTCTGTCTTTGTACAAGCTGGTTGTTTCACAAAAGGCACAACTGAATTTGACAGGGCTAACTAAAAAACACAAGAAGCAATTCTTCTGCCTAGGAAGAAGAAGCTAATATGCTAGAAGCAGGGTCTAAGTTAAGGCAAATAAATCCACAATTCAGGCTTCCTTAAATACCACTGTTTCATTATTTCTAGAAGAGACATTTGGTTTAGACATAATTAAATTAGATATAATTAATACAAGGACTTTCTCAGACACATAAATCGAGTAACAGTGACAATGCTCACCAACTCTGACAATACCACATTTACCCCACAAAGCAGGATTCACACTGAAGCAGTTATTTACCAAACTGAAGAAGGAGATCATCTTCAAGTTCTGGTTTCAAATATTCCTCTCCTTCCCAAGGCAGTGGGCTGCTGAGAGAACTCAAATATGCTGCAGTTGGTCTCTAGACAGGAGAAGAACACGTACACTAAGTTTCTTTGAAAACACCAGCCCTCCAGTTTCATTTGAGGAAACAAGGCAATCTTTCACACAGTGAAATATGCAGGGTATTACTGAAGGACCTTTGCAGCAAAGGCTGGCAAAGGAATTCTGTGCCAGCAGTAATGCACAGCACATTGACAGAGGCTGAAGGATACCAAGGAATTCTGTGCCAGCAGTAATGCACAGCACATTGAC